CACATTCATTCACTGCCCAACAATGATGTTAACAGAGAGGAATAGAGTTGAAACAAGTGGTTTCAATAACCACAGATAAAGTCCCTGCAGTAGCGTCATATATACGGTTTAAATTGATCCCCGGAGTGGTATGCCACTTCTTTTCCAACGGCATATACCGTTTCCTGAAGGCAGGTACCCCTTGAAAGTGGAAGTCCATTATCAGACAGACATACCAGTGAAGCTCTTGAAGCAAATGTAATGCAAATTGGTCTGATTCATGAACAGTGATGCCGTAAATGTATCTTTTTCAGATTTTGTAGTAATGGCAAGATTATCCACTTGACCGTGTCACCACCCAAACACAAACACTCACACAAGCAAGGGCGAAGACCAGATGAGCAAGTTTTTGGCATTGTCAAGTTATTTTTAGTCCGAAAATACCAAAATCCGGACCAAAGTAAAATACGAACAATCAAAGCCACAATAGTATCATTCGAATATTTACCTTGTCCAGAGGATGCATGTAAATATCCAAACAAAAATATCAAACAAAGGATTTTTCTTTCCATGATGAGTTACAGGTTCAGACAAGTGCTTTGTCAATGATTTGTTGTTGCATAGTGTAGATTACTCTTCCCTCAGCTACGGAGTGACATGGCATTGATGAAGGAGGATACTTTCATATAACGTCAGAAACCAGTTGCTGCCTACAATACTCCATTGAGGAACTCCTTGGTTTTAAAAGCTGGTGTCAAGTAACTGTCAATTAAATGGAGATAAAATGATCTCAATTCACATGAGTTAAACAATTAAAATGCCATTGCTCTTAACAAAGCCATTACTGGAAACCCTCATCAAGGTTGACAAACAGGTTTGTTATTCATGTCATGCAATTCCTTTCTACATCTTCCGTCTCTGTTTTCAAACTCTACTATTCTCAGTTGTGGGCCGTCAGGGCCAGCAAAGCCTTCTCTGCTGGCCTAAACAGAATCACAAAGGTATAGCTATTTTATAATTTAATATTTTTTCATAAATACACTACATGTATTTTAATAATTTTGCCCATTAGCTCATTTTCTCATTGCACAGCTGTCTTCCTCTGTTGCTCTGCTTCCAGCCTGCAGCGCTGCTTCCAGTGCAGCTTGTTTTAAGTAGAGCTTTTATCCAATCAGATTTCACCTCTATGTCTCTATGTAAGAAGAGAGGCCTGATGCCCTCCAGGTAGACTTTGCAGTTTAAGTAAATGGAGACGGTATTGTTGATTGTCATAGTCTTCAACCAATCAGATCTTTATTTTGACATATTGGGCGTATTCTTTGACGTGCCAGAGCATTCTCGGTAGCCTACAAGTACGTCAGCATAAACGTGCGGCTGCCTCAGCAATAACTTGTGCCGTGATTGGTCAGTGGGCTAGCGTAACTGTTGTAAAGCAGAAGCTGAAGCTAAAATATACATAATTAACAACACTTTACACTGCCCCACTGAACCTGAACTTGGTGACACATATCAGAAATCGTCTCACATCCCATTCGCTATTCAACATGCTACTTCAGGCTGCGGCTGACAAATCACACGGCTGACAAATCACATGGCCTCTCATTTCTTCTTATAAAAATAATATTGATTTAGGGACAAGTTGGTGTGACTGTCGTTGTCATAGTTACAGCCAGAGTTGTGGTGGCTGTCGTTGTGGTTGTTGTCGGCGATTTTGTGGTCGTTGCAATTGTGGTGTTCCTTGCAGGTGGGGTAGTTTGAGCCACAGCCACAGTGGCTTCAGCTGTGGGTGTTAGAACTACAGTCGTGGTGGCTGCAGTTGTGGATGTGACAGCCAGAGTTTTAGTCGCTGCAGTTTTTGTAGTTACAGCTGGAGTCGTGATGGCTGTAATTGTGGTGGTTGGAACTACAGATGTGGTTGCTGCAGTTGTGGTCGTTCCAAATGTGATAGTTTGAGCAATAGCTGTAGTGGCTGCAGGTTTGGTAGCCGCAGTTCTCTAGGCTGTAGATGTTCAGGGGCGCAGTTGTTGGAGCTGCAGTTGTGGGGATGCTTTTGTGGGGCCACAGTTGTGGAGGCCATGGATGTGGGGCCACGGTTGTCAGTGCTGCAGTTGTGATAGTTTGAGCAATATAGCTGTGGATGCTGCAGGTTTTGGGGGTACAGTTTTCGGGGGTTTGGAGTTGTGGGGGCTGCAGTTGTGGTGTTAAGAAGCGCAATGGTCAGGTTTCAGTTGTCGGGCTAACAGTTGTCGGGGATGTAGTTGTGGATCCTGTAGTTGTTGGGGTACACTTGTAGTAGCTGCAGTCATGGTGGTTGTAATTGTTGGGTTGTTAGTTGTGGGGTCCGCAGTTGTGGGAGTTGTATTTGAAAAATCAAATACTTCAGTGTGCCAATATTTTTTTATTTGAGTAAAAATTTGAATGTAGGACTTTTACTCGTAACAGAGTATTTTTACACTATAGTATTACTAGTTTTATATAAGTAACATATCTGAGTACTTCTTTCTCCATTGGCTCATAAAGGCTGTGTATAACTAAATTGTGGTAGGCTATTTTACTTTTAACATAATTGCTGTAAGAGGAGTTACTTTGGAATACAATTTAGATTTGATTTTGAATATAGCTTAATTAGAATTCAACACATTTGTAAGCTATTATGTTGAGCTCTCTATGAAGCAGTGTTCATGTGTATGTTTCTGGTGCTTTTATTGTGGAGGGTGAGACGGAAAAAGTTGGAGATAAAACAGGTTCTGGCAAAGTGTGTGAGAAGTGAATAAAGTTGCTGACATCTTGGCGCAGAACACGGAGTTTATTATTTTATTATTATCCTAAAGTATAGGCGCAACATTAACCCCCGGCTACACATTTAAAAAATGTATTAATGTTTTGATTGTCCACTTTAGTTCCTAGGTGGGATTTGTTTCTCCCGACGGTTTCAGTGTAACACACCTTGCGCATGCTCACTCGTCCATGTGTGATAGTAATGGACGATGTAGGAGAAAAGAGGAGTCGAGACTTGTTGGAATTGAAATGATAGTTGTGTTTATGCGTTTTAGGAAACAGAGGTACTTTGCATGTGTAAGACTATTGGAATATTGTTCATTACGAAGATAATTTCAACTTGCTAGTGTTTTAGCATGACTAACTAGCGTTTGTTTTGATGGCTAGCTAAACGACGCAGAGCAACGCTGTTATCTAACTAACTTGCATCCATTAACGTTAACGTGTATTTAATGGTCCTTTTACATTTTACAATCCGAGTTGGCGCACACATCTGTTGAATAGACGTGCCTATTGATGGGGGAAAAACATCATGTCTCCACCGCGATACAAGTAACACGTTTGCTAGATTTAGCTAAAACGTTTCAACCATAGTCAGCGGCACTCAATGGCTACTAGCTATATCCTTTGACTTGTAGAATAATGTGACTGCAGTCCTGTGAAAACAGAATGGACAGAGACTTGTTGAGGCAGTGTCTGACCTATCACGGAGAATCGTTTTTCAACAAACTGAAATGTGAACAAACGGAAAACCCAGACTTCCAAGCTGTGGTGTCTGACCTGTGCAAGGTCTCGTGTGAAAGGTATTCAAGCAAGTTTATTTTTGTTTTGTATGATTTGTTTTACATGTGAGCTTTGACGAATTGTTGTCAAATCACTTGTCTTGCATTGCCCGTATAATCTTTTAATTTGTATGATATGGATCTTGATAAATTGTTGGTCTCACTTAAGGCGGCAATTAACAAGTATTTTCATTGTGGTCAATAAACATTAACATAGTGAAAAGTGCACAATTGAATTCCGTCACAATTTCCATAAGTCCAAGATGACTGCTTCAAATGACTTGTTGTCTGACCAGCAGTTTAAAGCCCAATTCATCGATTTGTTTTACTATTATATAAATCAGAGAAAGGCAGAAAAACTTCAAACTGGCTAGAATGAATGAATTTGGCCTTTTTGCTTCAAAAAGACAGAACCTGTTAATTCATTATCAACATTCGTTGTTGATTGATTTTTGTTGTTGTTTGCCTAATAATTAACTACTGAGCTATTGTTTCAGCTCTAGTCATTATTATTAGTAATAGATAGTGTCTGAGGTGTTGGAGATTAGACGCCCCTTTTTATTGGTGGTTTTAGAAAAAAGATGTTCTTTCATATTGTGAATTTCATGCGTGATGAAGGTCCATTACTGAAAAGTTGTATCTCTAATGAACTCGGCACTAATAATGTGCGAGAATTCAGCTGTTTGTTTCGCCTGATCTCCTCTTCCTATGCGCCTGCTTGCCAGGCGTGCTCTACACAACGCTTAGTTTGACAAAAGGTTATTCTCCCAAGAGCCTCGCCGAGCATGTGTGTTTTGTGTGCAGCAAGAGTGATGGGCAGGACAGCCCCCTTGTAGAGCAGTTCATTGCCCGGAAGGCTGACATCCTGTTCTGTCCAGCATGGAAGACCACCACTCATCAGGAAGAGGAACATGAGGAGGACGACGACGCCGCAGGTGTGTGTTCGTTTTTACTACATCTCCCAGGCTCGGTCCACACTAGGTCATCAAACATGTTAATTTTGTAAAGACCAGACTTATGTCATTGAGTTTTTAAACACTAAAATGCTGAACTGGCATCTTAAGATGTATCCACTCTAGAGAGAGTTTTGGAGAAGGCTCCATTTTTGGGTGAGAAAAAAATTCCAGCTTAGTGAATATGGAGGGCCAAAACAGAGAGGAAAGTGTGTTTTTAAATCTAACCGGCCTAATGTGGATCTACCCCAATATAGAGAAATCTATCTTCAGATGCAACATGTTTGATTCAGTTTTGATTCTACTTTCCCAGAGCCGTATGCCATCATGCCACCAGTGGAGTTATTCATGGAGGTGTCCTATGAAGAAAGAAGAGCCATGCTGTACAGGGACTTGGAAAAAGGAGACATTTTGGTGGGGAGGATCAACAACATTAGAGAGTACGGCTTCTTTCTCACTCTGCTTTGCACGGCAGGAGGACTGAAGAGAGACATAGAGGACCTAGAGCTGTCGGTATGTCAACAAACTAAATCAATTGAATGCCCTTGAGCCATGTCATAAACCTGGTAACGGATCGAAACCAATCAGTCAGCCATTGTAGATGCAGAAGACATCTGGACCAGTACTAATGCCGACTTAAATGACCACCGCACAAGTTGAGGTCTTATGTCATGACACATACAATTTGTGTACCTATAATTACTGTAGTAAATCGTGCAACTCCACACCTGGTGGAATTTCCTTTCACTTCTACGTACAGGCTCTTTGTCACATCAGAGAAATTCCCTCCACTGGCAGCCATGATGATCCTCTGTCCTACTTCCAGACCGGAGACTTCATCAGAGGTTAGCATCTTAGTTGTTTTCTCTTAAACAACCACCTCTGTGCAGACTTTCTCTGACAGCCAGACCCATAGGCGGGTTTTCTCTAAAGCTGTTACAAGGCTTTAATTCTCACCAGGTTGACTTTTGACTCTTGAAATCAAAACAGGGTCGTTGGAGAGAAAAGTGTAAAGCTGGCTCAATATTTGCTGCAACACAATGTGTATTTTATCTGACGTTACAGTGCATTTGTGCATTTTGTTAAATTAAATGGCGGAGGATAAAATGATTGCCATTGTGATAACTTATAAGAATTGTTCAATGCTTCCTCAAAGTATTATATACCACTGTTGTATACAACTACAGGTAAAGTAGAGAATGTTTCAGGCATTATCTACATTTTGAGTCAATTGTGTCTTTAGAGTTTGTGGAAACTTGACATCATAAGTACTAGACAATCAAGCTCTATTCTTCAGCTCTCTATCATGATAGCGAGTTAGATGGCTTTTTGAAGTCACTCGTGACAATATTTACAGTTATCCTGAAAATAAGTTACCTCAATCCATTTATTGAGTGTTTTTACCTTGATCATATCGTTTGTTGGAACCCGAGTTGTGGTTGTGGCAGCCATAGTTATGTTGGTTGGAACGTAATTTGTAGTATTTACAGCTGCATCTGTGGTTGTTGGAACCCCAGCTGCAGCTGCAGTTGTGGTTGGTCATTCCGTGTTGTTAATATAAAACAGGGGTATTCAATTAATATTCAACGAGGTCCAGTTAGAGATAATAGTAGTGGTGCTTCACATTGCTTATTTTAATAATCTCCCGTGCCTCTGAACATATGAGACATACTGGTTGTGAACTGCCCTTTAGAAGAATGAAGATACACGAGACTGTCCGTTCTGGGTTTCGCTGTCCACATTCCTCTCTTTGGAGAACGACATGTGAAATAGCTTCTCTGACTCGCGTACTATTCCACTGTGTTATTCAATTATAATACACTATGATCCTTGCAAAAAACAATTATGCAATCATGAACTATTATGATACTTGAATTTAATATATTATGTACATGAGTGTTTATAACTATCACTATTTAGTGCTATGAGCAGATTGTAATGCATTATAGACATGGGCGTCAGAAAAGGTGTCGACATTTGGTCACCCCAGAGAAATATTTTTCAAATCTTCTGAGTTGTCAACGTTCTCGTTCTGTAGCTGCAGTGAAAGACATCGACCGCTACCAGGAGAAAATCACCGTCTCCCTCCAACAGGCCTCTCTCTCTCCCAACCTGGAGCACATCAAACTGGGTGTCGTTCCTCGGGAGGAGCTGCCCATACACTACAGGTAAATACACAACATGACCTGATAAAATACTATACAATATACAACTCTGAACTTCCAAAACCAACACTTATTTAAAAAAAAAAAAAAACGATCTAAAATGAATTAAAATATGCTTGAAATGTTTGTTGTGTGAGTAACACTAAAGCTTTCTTTACTGAACACTAATTGAAACATTTGTATTGAATTTGTTTCAGGATGAATGGATACAGGATGTAGATTAATCAAGAAGTATATCAAACTGGTATATCTGTTTAAAATAACTAGTCTGTTGCTGCGCTTCATTATTTAACACAGGTAAACCGAGTTCACGACTCATTCAAACGTTAACATTTTCTTTATCACCAGAGAATACAAATAAGCCTTCCGAGCACATCTAATTGTAGCATGGAATAATGTGTTTCGTTTTTTTCTTGTACATCAAGTTAGGCTACGTTCCGACTGTATGCAAAACATCATTGCATCATCATTTCACCCTCCAAACAATCGCGCTGTCAAGCCGCGGTGCAGAACTGAAGGCTGGCAAACATTGCAACGCTCCCTGTTGCAGTCACAGAGAGACACAAAGTGCCAGCAGACGATTTATTTCAAAGTCTGAACACGGACTGTTGTTCTCCATTGTGCTCTGCTAGTAGCGAGTGACACAAAAAAAGACACTTTGAGATCTGATTTGAGCGGCCAGTGTCTGGAAATCACATCTGTAGAAATCCGATTAGAATCGCATTTGAAACCAGCTCCAAATGTGGTTTGGATCCAATTTGCAAAAAGTGTTTTTGCTGTGCCGACTTCATAAAATCAATCTGGATACAGTCTAGATATGCCTAATAAATGTGTGTATGCCAAAAGACGGAATAGGGCTGGCAGCCTGAACAAAGCCGAAGTGTTCAGTTTTAGCATGCGACGCTGACTCCTCTCACCTCCTCTCGCCTTTTCTTAGCCGTAGCGTTTGTGCAGCCGCTGACTCCACTAAGACGTACGAGTGTATACTGAAGAGCTGCCATGGCTACCACAACCCCTCTGTCGTGGCCTACCTGCTGGAAAAGGTGGGAGTCAGTGACACCCACCCACCATCAATGATGAGAGGACTACAAAGGTAATAAGCATGGCCACTGGCTGACTCTCTGATTACTTTAAGTACCGCCATATTTTATTGGATAATTCTCCAGCAGCCGTATGATAGCAGAGAACTCTGCAGAGAGAGTAACACAGTGTCCTTACAACAAGTGCTATTTAGCGTCAACAAACTACATGCCTATCAGCTGTGTGCTGTAGTTGACATTGGAGACGAGACCACTTGAAGGATGGGTGAATAGTACTAACCATCTTCTGACATTTGTACTTTTTTAACAGAAAAAAAGGAAGCCTACAATGCTGAGAGACGACCGCTCTGAGGGTCAATAGAGTTCTTACCTGTGCCTCTTTTCTCCACAGTAAACTTTTTCAAGAGGAAGATTTTGCCTCTGAAATCAGGAAGAAACAGTCTGCATCATGGGCTTTGAAGTGGTAATGATAAAATATGTCATTGGTCTATCATATTCACCACAGTACAAAGTGAACAACATCCCCCTTTTTATAGAGTCTTTCTTCCTCTGGCTTCGTCTCACTTGATGTTCCCATTTCCTCTTCCATGTCCGTCTTTGTTGTTCCAGCGTCCGTGCAGGTGTGGGCTACTTCAAACACGGTCACCACGTTGAAGCCATGAACGAATACAACAAGGCCTTGGACATCGACACTAATAATGTAGAAGCACTGGTGGCTCGTGGAGCTCTGTGAGTCGATTTCTTATTTCATGTCCTGTAACCTACTTTGGATGCGTTAACACAGTAGAACTTCTTTACTGCCTTACATGGGGCCTTACATTGTTTTTAATAAGAAATGGTTGATGTAATTTTCTTCTAAAACGTATGTAAAATGAACAGAATATGCATCAGTTCATTTGAAATGTTATTCATATTTTCTTACAGAAACCACACCCGTCCCTGTCATAACTTGTCTATGTTGCAATAAAAAGCTGTTGTTCACTTGGTGCCAGAGATAACAGAAAGGGAACTCATTTATCAACTACATAACAGATAAATGATGCAGAAAATGGCAGTAATGTTCAAATGCCGTTGTACATATTCACATAATTCTCTTTTACACATTTAGACTGCAACTTAGACTTTATAATCTCTCCGTTTGCAATAGTATTGTGTTCAAAAATCATAAAAAAAGAACATGGAAATAAATCCTTGTCGGAGCATTATTGTATCTCAGTTGTGATAGTCCCTGTAGATAGAAGGATTGAATTCTCTTTTTAAGATGTTTTTTCTTTCTGTGTTTCCTTCATTGGATATTCTCAGGTATGCTAACAAAGGCAGCATCATGAAGTCGATAACAGACTTTGAACTGGCCCTGAAGACCTGTCCAGATCACCGCAACGCCAAGAAGTACCTCTGCCAGACGCTGGTGGAGAGAGGAAAACAGTAAGCACTGATAATAGTTCAGAGGTGTCAGATCTTCCAAAGTAATAGCAATCAAGCAGTATTAATGTATTCATGTGTATTCATCTGTCCTGGTTGTTTAGGGGAATAAAGAAACATGCTGACATTGCTAATATAGTCTCCACAATGAAGGGTGCTTTTGTGCTCCTGCCTTTTCTTGCCTCTGTGCTGCAGGCAAAAGCAGCATTTTCCTGCTGACATTACTTGTGTTATTAATTAATTCATCTTTGACCTTATTTACTCAGCGGTCTCTTGTGTGTGTGTGTGTGTGCGTGCTTGTGTGTGTGTCGCTAGGCTTGAGGAACAGGAGAAACTAGTAACAGCAGAGGGATTGTACAGGAGAGCTCTATCTCTGGATGACTCAAACCCTGAGGCGCAAGAGGCCCTGCGCAAGATCACAGACACTATACAGGTGAGCAGGCCACCACCCACACACACACACACACACAAACTTAAGGGGTTGGGGAAAAGTTGGCGGGTATGCACTGTGTTATGTCTACATATCAATGAAGTATGACTTGAAAAAATGACACACACAATTCACGACTAGCTGGTGAACATAGTGAAGTATTTAGCAACTAAAGAGATGGATGTCTCAGAATAGAGGTCAAGTTCATTTTTATACATGCATGGCCTGTCAAACTGCTTCCCTGTTGGCCACTCCACACACTCTGATCATTCACCAATCATGGGAATAAGATGTCTGTGATTCAAACAGAAAGGACTGAAACTTCCGTGTGTCTGCTAATGGTTGACCTGATTAATGTTAGTTAAATATTAATATTAAAACATTAAACATTCCTGGTTTGTTTATACACAGGATCACACAGCTATAAACTGGTTGGGGTCATACATCCACCTGAAAAATGTAAATCTATTTCATTTTATCAGCAAAACAAATCTTTACTTTTTCGGAGTTGTTATTACTAGCATCTAAAATAAGTGAAAATAAAAAAAAAAAAAGAATATACTGGTTCAACTCCGCTGTCTCTTTCCGTCGTTTCCTCGGTGCTATTTATTAATAGCTTGCTGAACGAGTTTGTCGGTGGGCAACATTTGAATATGGCCACTGGGGATACACGCATGCATCCTTCAAAATCCTCTGGACGAAGGACTCAGTCTTTGGTAGAATTCAAAGGATCCTCAACATTGGAACACTTCCTTGACATTAAGAAACACACAAAGTCTGTAAACGCCTACACCTTCTAATAAAGTTCAACCAGTCAAAGAGGTGAAAACATCTGTGGGGGTACCGGGGGTGTGGAGGGACTTAACAATATCTGGACCAGAGCACCGTGGAGTGCTGTCCATGGTGCCGAATCTAGTCTGAAAGCGTTTACAAGGGCATGTTATGTTATTAAAACGTTCGTAGTTCAAGTACAGCACACAACGTCCTCTTGCACTGAATTTTGTGCACAAACGCAGACATGTTGCCGACACCGTTTGGTTTGTAATACTGATGAAGTGCTTTGGTGTATGTGTGTGTGTGTCTGCGACCCTGGGACTCTGCCCTTTGACCCTCCAACTGCCATGGTCTTGTCACCTGCCTTGCTGGTGTGAAAATAAATAAACGGCACAACGACAACGACTCCTCCACTGGACACATGTGTGTGCCGTGCCCCTGACCCAAATACGGTAACGTTGAAACCTTCTCTGTCTCAATGGGGAACAAATTATGTTTGTTTTCTCTGCACATCTCTGCCTGTACCTCTGTCCATCCATCTATTTCTCTGCCAACTACTGTTCTCTTGGATCACACCACTTTTTCTTGTGGTAAATATGTGACTCTCTGTATATTTCTCGATCGTTCTGCCATCTGGTGTGTGATCGTTAACGCTCTTCTGTCCTTTTCAAACCTTTGACTTGCCGCCTCCTCCTCATACTTTTTTTTTTTACTCCGCTACTAATAAACGAATGAATGGCTGAATACCGATCAATTTCGGGGTCTCCGTTGCATGTCTTGGGGCGTTGCATGTTTGATTGTGTCTCTGTGGACTTTTGCTTTGCCCGGCGACGATAAAGAAATCGATTCGCCTGCGAGAAGAAGCGGTGGCTAAGGAGCAGGACAAAGCTACGAGCAGCCAGATCAGTGCCGAGAAATTGCGTAAGATCTTAAAAGAGGAGAAGAGGTGAGTCGACTCTGATCTTTAGAAAGTGTGGCAGGTAAATATACTGCAGATGAAGCCATGCAAGTCATTTCGTAACTTCAAAGCATCAGTTGTTTAATGAGGATAAAATGTTCAGTGAATGTCTTTTTTTTTTTTTAACAGGATGAAGAAAAAACGGAAGAGATCGGCTTCTTCCTCTTCGTCCTCCAACACTTCTTCCAGGAACTCCTCTCCATCGTCATCGTCTTCCTCCTCTCGCAGGAGGTCCAAGAAGAAGAAAAAGAAGAGGAGGAGGTCTGAGCGGGAAAGTAAGCGCCATCGCAGGATCTCCTCACGGGAGAGCAGCAGGAGGAGTGAGGAGGGTAAGAGCGAGAAAGACAGGAAGGTGAAAGAGGAGGATGAGGTGGAGTGGTACCCCGCTCCTCCCAACACCGCCGCCACCTTTCTCAACCAGAAGGGAGGCCCGGGTTTTGGAGAGGAGGAGGAGGAGGTAATGGTGAAGGATGCTGACGATAGACGTATCTCTCAGCTGTACTCCTTGTCTGCAGCTTCAGAGGATGAAGAGTCTGACTCCTCACGCAGAGAAAATAAGAGAAGGGACAGAGAGGAGAGAAGGAAAAACAGTCTGAGCAGAAGCCCAGAAAGAGAGGAGAGGGGGAGTAGAGAGAGTCTGGATAAGAGCAGGGCGAGAGGTAGGGGGGATAACAGGAAAGACAGGCGAGACAGTGACTCCAAGAGGAGAAGTAGCTCTGACGAGAACAGACAGCGAAAGGTATCCTGCTCGTCCGCGGAGTCCGAGTATTCACGGAAATCCAGTTTCAAATCTGAATATTTAGGGAACTCGGGTTCTGCATCAAAGCGCGTAGAGAGAGGGATGAGACATGACTCTTCCAAGAGGATCTCCTTCGATGGCGGCAGGTATGAGAGCAGAGGGCGGGAGGAAATTCAAGAGGTAGAAGAGGCCGGGAGGGAGAAGGACAACAGAAAGGGGAAAGTAGTGGACGGCAGCAGAAGGTCAGATGTTGGGAACGGTAAAAGATCAGCAGGTGCTGGAAATCACAACAGACAGAGTAGTGTGACCTCAGTGCCAGAAGGAAGGGCTACAAAAGACCTCCCATCCAACCTGTTGAGTATTTTCAATCAGATCGCCCAGTTTGAGAAGCAGAAAGGAGCCGGGCCAAAATAATAACTCGAAACCAAAAGTCCAAAAGGTGCCCGAATATTAGTGAAACAAGGCTGTGAAATGTGGATGTTTGTACCATGAAGCCATTATTTCTGGACTGTGTATCAAGCTGATTGAATGTTCCCAGATGTTGTACCTTTTATTGTTGGGAAAAAAAACGCCGTTTTACTTTGAAATGTTTTAGTCCTCGTAGTAGATTTAAGGCCTGTGAGCAACTGTTGTGTTCACAATGTGGTGAAATGTTCATCTGCATTGGTTGAAGCTATAATTTGAGTAAATACTTTCACTAATTATGTGATGGCATGTTCTTATTGTAACTGGTGGTTATTAGGGTATTTCATTAGAAGAACATTCTCCACTTATTGAAAGATCTACATCTGTGACTGCAGATATTATATAATTCGTCATCATTGCTTCATCTGTTATTCCGTTATCCAGCACGTCTGATGTCGCATCAGTTGCTCCAGGCTTTGATAGCTCTTTTGTGTTCATCTGAAGTTGAGACCTGTTATCTGTTGGAGGAGATACTGCCTTATGTTTACTGCCTTGTGCCATTTTGTGCATTCTCTCTGTGGCTCGTTAAATCTCAACCAACCTGACTCTTAGTGCTGCGGTATTTTTATTTTTTTTTCAAGCTATCACACAATGCCGATGTTCCAGCTGCTTCCCCGACACATTTTCTCTGTAGTAGAACAAAACTCTGTTGAATCAATAAAAGCATTTAAAATGTCAAAACTACACGCCGTGTCACTTTGTCCTTTGCGAGGGCGCTGTGCTTTGTGTAAAACAGCGGCGGTGGATAAGAGGCTGCGGACAGAGCAGATTAAAATACCACTTTCTTTCCCTTCATCGTTCTGTCTCCACTGCAGCCTCTCTGATCTGCTGGTTGCAGACTTTGCTGCGTGGGTGTGTGTGGAGGAGCTCCTCCACAGAGGAGGGGAGTTTCAATGCGATAATAAATACTACGGTCCTTGTCCCCGGGGCCCGTTTAATACTGGGTTTTGGTAACCATCCCTAAAATGCAATGATTTTTCTTATTTCAGCCAATTTTTTTGCAATGTCTTTATTGCTGTGTTCACATCGCGATGACGATGAAAATGCAATTAATCAGTTGTTGATGCAGTAAGTCCTGACAGTGAGCCAGCATGCAGAATATTATTTTCACAAACTCGTCATTTCCTACGTCGCAAAACACCAGATTTACGATGGAGGACAGCACCTAATGTCAAATGAAGAAGAAAAAGATTAGAATAGAAATATACTTTATTCATCCCCAAGTGGAAATTTGTCTGTGGCAGCAGCAAACAAGGTTACACAATAAAATAAAAACATTAAGTATGGAAAATGCACAATATATACAATATAATAAAATAAAATAACAGAGCAGGACCTATTAAATTTAAGAAAATAAAGTAATACAAATGCACAGTATATACACTAAATAGAATCGTATTAAATTAACTAAGTAGGAAAAAATAAACAGTAGTGCACAAGATCACCAACAGCAGCAACAACAGTAGCAGTGTTGTAGTCTTGTGTTTGATTTGGCCTGAGGTGATTTATTATAGAGTCTAATGGCAGAGGGCAGGAATGTTTTCCTGTGTCGGTCCTTGGACATGGCGCCGCTAAAAGAGTCAGTTTTAACTTGACGTTTGCATATTCAAGGCCACAGTCCATGATGATGTAAATGCAGCGGTGCAGAAAACCTCCAGTCAAACTTTCTGGTGGAAATATTCAGCTGTGGGGCTGTGGATCAGCTCCACACCTGCTAGAGAGAAATACCACTTTATTTTGCAGAGGCATGCTACCCCTTCTGGCTCAGTAATATGTGTCAAAGAGGATTCATTTTCCAGCAGCGTATTGATCCTAAACATGCATGGAAGCTGCTGTATACCAGGCCCGTTTGAAGTCCGAGGAAGAGCAAGCACTGCTGGCTTGTGTGGCTTTCCTTCCTCACCAGACCTAAAGTTTACTGACAAAAAGTGGAAAAGTCCAAAAGTGGAAAGAGGAAAACACACAGCAACTTCACAAGCCTCTAATCTGGGACCTGTCAAAGGGTTTGTTCACTCAAATAACAAAATCAGTACATTGTCACACGCGGTATCCAGCCGTGCACATAGTTATGGTTTTATTTGCCCTTGTTGGAGATGTTACACTATTTCACTCTATTGTAACACTGTTGAAATTAAGTATTCTTTTGGTAAGAGGTAGTTCATAGTCTGTTACTTTGAGCCATTTAAGGACCTTGAGAGGAGATTTTCTTTTTGCTTTTTGTTTTGATTTGGGTAAACTGACCTTGAGTAGAGCTGAATTAGAAGCCAAACATTAGGAAATGTTCACAGTTTGTTAAATATTAACAAATGTTCTGACTAAATATAGATTTTCGTCTTAACCTGTATTGATGCCCAGAGGGGAAGTGATGCCATATAACAATACAGTAATATAGCACAGAATATGAAAAGTAATTATAGTATGGCCTCAGGGGACACCAGAGAGAGAGAGAGAGAGAGTGTTTTTCTGTAGCCGCCTGTATATTTTCATATTTCCATTCTGTCATGTTATTCTTGTCGCTACTGAAGCAACATTGCCCGAACATGAGATGGCCTAAACACATCTGGTTGTCTTTCATCCTTCAACTAAGCAAATTAAACCCAAAGTGGCATTATGTGTTGTTAGTGCTTTAAGCTACTTGGTGTCACATATTTGATTAAATAACTGGACACACACACACCAGTGGTTGTGCGACCAGCCGTGCGTCGCCCCGTGCCAAAGTAGCTTACTTCAGGCTTAGCTGCCAACCTCTCGCTTTCCTCCTCCATCATTACTGGTTCCATCATCAGCGATGCAGCCGAGGGGCTACAGTCTATCTTGTTAGGGCAGATTAACCACTAATATACAGGCAGTAAAGCAGCCCCTTCATCTAATACTGTACACACGGGCTCCTGATCCTGTGCTTTCTGTCTCAGACGCCTGACATCTTAATCTTTATAAATACTGACGACAGGAGATCCTGCAGCCGTTCCTCTGGCCTCACTGAGTGCTCACTCCGTGGGTCATCATTAGTCCTATAACGAGCCACTGGTGGAGTTTTTGGTCCTGAGCAAGACGCATCACTGAGCACATGGATTATTCTGATGCCATTATGCGTCCTAAAAATGACTGGGGATCGCAGTTTGAGTTCGCGCCACACTTTCAATTACAGTTCTCAAATACTGGATGAAAAGAAATTTAAAAAACATACAGTGAAATCTAATGACAGATGATATAATGGTAATAATGTTTTGTTCATCCATATTTTTCATTCATGAATTCTAATTATTTATCTTCTCCTCACCCACAAACCTCAACCAATTAAATGTAACATAGTATATGTAGATCTAAGAACCAAGAACTTTGTGTTTGAGGCTTGACAGAAATAGTGCAAGTCTGATGTTAATTATTTTTGCGTACCCTAATTCACAACAAATCCAACTTTAGTAATGAAAAAATAATGTTTATTCACTGTTATTCACTGGAACTGTTACCAAATGGAGTGTCTGATGAAAAATCTATATTTCTTTTCTGTATTTGTTTATGCCTGGTTAGTTAATCATGGTAACATGAAAGAAATGTGCAAGCTCTCTATATCCAGAGGTCTCCAGTTTAACATCGTGATGCATTAGAGGTCTTGATAACATGCCACCAGAGATGTATGTTGACACTGTAGTTAGAATCTGAGCAAACATGTCCTCCAGAGACACACTGACTCACCAGCTGCTGGACAATTCAGCCTCCTCCTACCCATGAGTGAACACTTTAATGCTTCTCAAATTCCAATTGGCGTAATACAAGAAACAAATTCAAATGCATCAAATCTGCAGTTCTGCAGCGTTCCACTGGAGGGCAGTGGTACACTGTGTCTGTGGACAACAACTGGAACTGGAGAAATGGAACAGATCACATTAGTCTTCTCTACATCCATACTGATGGAGGTGTCTGCTTTTGTTTTTCATAAGAAAGTGCGTTTTACATGGATTTATGTTTCAATCCATCTGTGAGTGAATCTGAAACAGACATTCTGGTTCATTGTAGTGGTTTTAATAAAGATGCAGCCTTTGTGGTTGTTGTTAACAGGGGTGCTGCTGGAAATGCTGGGTCCCTGAAACATGCATCACTTTTGACCCTGAATCATAAATATATTAATAAGATATCCTAAATCTTTGATATATTGCCCGGCCCTCTTTATTCATGTTAAGTTTCATCTCCAGTGAAAAACATCTCATAAGATTTGTTTTGGTAACTCTTGGCTGCAACAAAAACTACAAAATTTAGGGAATACGTGTTTGTGATTTTGATTGTACAACCTAAACAAAAGCAACAACACTGTTGTCCTGAAATACATTTTCCATCCATTACGATTAAAGCAATAATGAGAATAAAATTAGGAATAAACAAGACTAAAAAAATGTAAATCCTTCAAATATTGTGTACGGCAAACAATGTACCAAGGAAGAGATGAAAGAACACAATAATAGAAAGAGAGAAAGAAAGAAGAAGAAAGGCCGAAACACATTTTTATGTCTTGCTTAATCAATTAATCATTTTGTCGGTAAAATGTCAAGAGCATTTTGAAAATACTACTGATACCCATTTTTTAAAATCATCCCATTTGAGAGGTTGGAGCCAGATCAAATGGTGAAAATACACAAAACAGAACAGTGATCGGTAGAAAGCATGCATTCAATTGATGCACCTTTAAGGCATGCGTAAAGACGAATGTGTTTCTTATATATGATATTACTATATAGTCAATTATGAGGATATAGTGAATGTTTTGTGTTTACCACTCCATCACTTATCCTTTGAATAACACATGTTCCAACCCGGTCTCACTCCCAACCAGTCAAACACCGATGCTTGGTCAGTGCCCCTCTGCGTCTGACTACGATGCACCGGGCTTTTAACTAACTCCAACTTAAACCCACCAGCGTCATTATTAAACAGTCAGAGCAACTGCTGACTATAAAGAGCGAGATAGTCCACAGAGGGTTCGGTGGTCAAACTAACACAGGACTGCCACCCAGGAGACCGCTGTTGGTGTCCAGCGCAAAGCTAAAACTAAAAGTTGACATTTTGTTCCGTCAGTCGTTGGTGTCGTTAGTCACATGCGCCGCTAGTCAGGTGACGTGTTTGTCACTCGATATTCACTTGAGTCGTAAATCACTCGGTAGTTACGCCAGTCGAGTTTCCTTTTCATAAATCTAATTAAATGGTTTCGTTGCCTAAACGTTACTTCCTGTGAAGATAGAAGTTTATTTTGAAATGTCCCCATGTAACAAGTGGTAACTGACACGCCGTCTCTGACACGTGGGTAACTGATGCCAGAGGGTAACCCAGAGAGTCGGGGTTCGAAGCTTAGGGCCACTGAGCGTCAGTATTTGACGAGTTGGGAGTGAGAATGTGTTGCATGTTCATGTATACTGTATTTCAGGCACAGAGACACCTCATCACTGTCCTTTTCTGCAGACCTGATGGACTTTATTTCTCTGGGGGGGTTAAATCCTGACCCTGCTCTGTTGCAATAAGCTGAGAGTGAAAAAGTGTGAGAGAAAGAAAAGAAAGAGAGAGGGAGGGAGGGAGAGCAACGTGGCCGCTGGAGGGAAAAGAATAGGAGGACCTTTGGTCCTTGAAGGTGTCGGTCTCTCCACTGGTTCGGAAGGTCAGCAGCATCAGCTGTCCTGCTTGACCGACTCTGA